CCTTTTTAAGCATGTCTTGCATGGTCATCATACTTAGTACATTTTGTGTACTAACCCATATTCTTCATACTTTTACTATAAGTGTAGGTTCCGGCAAGTGATCCCTCCTAGCTAGTTTGAAGTGTTGGATTGCTTTCCTCCAAGACTTGGTATGTCCTCATGGATTCGAGGATAAGACTTTTAAGTTCTTTTGTTCATGTAATAGACTTCTTTTGATTGTAAAGGGCCGTGTCCCTACTTATGTTTTGCGGCTGTGTCTAAGATGGCCATGTGAGACTTAGACTTCCGCTGTGTGTTTTTAAAGTTGTCTTAAGAAGTTTAAATGTGTGGATGTAAATAAGTTTTTTTTATTCCGCACTATTTTCATTATTGAATGCAATGAATGACTATGCGGCTCGTATAAGACCCCTTCGGGGTCGAGTACGCCTTGTTACGACTTGGGGGTGCTCCCGGGTCGTGACAAATAACCCTTATATAGGTCTACTAAAACAATATAAACCGACCCTGCAATAAACTAACTAAAATAGAATTTTCCTAAACCAGCTCACCTTTGGCCGAGCTTGAGGCAGATTACAGGCCATGACTCACGCCCATGACTTGCGGTCTATAGGTTGGCCTACTGGCCGTCCTGCATGTCCGTAGGTCCATGGCCTGCAACTCATTTTCTAGGCCTTGACCTACGAGCTAGAGCTACGGGGCATGGATGGACCTACGCCCAGTAGGTCCCATTCGTAGGTTACAAATTTTTGGTAGCTTGGGCAGTTTTGGGGAGTCTTGGGGGTTAGGCTTTAGAGGAGGACCCTTGGTTGGTCCTTGGGGGGTCGTACCTTGACGTTTAACCCCTAAACCTAAGTTCGGGAAACCATTTTACAACATTAACTCACACATCAAACTCTAAAACTCTCACGTAAGGCTCTAGTTTCACCTACTAGTTTTCCGGGTGTTACACCTATTCTCGGTTACATCACTTTACGCGATGTATCGGGATGTATTCGAAATCGAGACAAGATGTATTGGGACGTTGAGGATGTATCCTAAACTGGGACGCGATGTATCGAGACGTTGAGGGATGTACCCGAAACCAGGACACTTAATGCGATGTATCAAGATGTTTTGGGATTTCCGGATTCTACCAAATTTAAGGAAATTTTGTAATTTGAAAAAAGAATATGAATATGATGTAAATAGGTCTTAACACTATGAGATTCGTGTAAAATTCACTTTTAAAAAAAATCTTGCACTCCTATTTTTCTTGTTACTTGTCATTCTCTTCAATTTATTTTTTTAAACAAATTATAAGTTCTTTTTTCCTTTTGGTTAAGCACCACTCTGAAATCCCTTTTTTTTTTCAAGAACACTGACGAAAACTTCATTAAGCAAAAAAAAAAAAACGCAAGTTATTCAAACACGTTTTAACGTGTGCAAGATGCATGACAGACTCAAACGTTTGCTGAGTAGGCCAAAATATATACGTCAACGTTCAAATCATAAAATTGAGTTATACTTTGAACGTCCTAAAATAAGTGTCATTTTAGTAAAAATCATGTCTATTTAAAAATTAATAAATATAATACGTAGTTTATTAAACTATGCCTATATAATAAATGTTTTTTTAAAATTGAACACTACTCTCTTTATTCTATATTAACTGAATTTGTAAGGTAATCCACACATTTTAAGAAAAAAAATCATAATTTTCACTATTACCCTTTGTGAAATTATAAATATAAGTTTGTAAGTAGTGTAATTTATCTCCTAAAAAATATTTAACTTTAATAAATGAAAGGGCAAGTTATGAAAAAAAATTCAAACATTCATTTTGAACTTTGCATAATTCAATCATTTTGAACAATGAAATAAACCTCAACAATTCTCCAAATTTGGAGAACTATTTACATCTCTGTAAATGAAGAATAGAGAGTAATACGGAGGTGGATTGGAGAGGACATTCTCTATTTTACGCTCCAAATAATTTATCTATAGTATAAAATTATACTCGTAGAACTTTTTTAACACCTACAATAGCCAAAACTAGCTCCAAAGCAGTGGTTTAGCCGCATTACTACATCAAAAATAGTTTTAGCGGCAATAATATGTACATTAACAAAGAGTATTAAAACATTTACCAACATTAGCTAATTGTCATTTGATCCAATGTTATTATAAGCTTTAGGGACATTTACAACGAATGCTAATTACTTCTAAAAGAACATTACATATTTAGCAGCAATTAAACTATTACCCCAAATTAATTGCCGCTAAAAATCATTTTTAATATAGTACATAAAGCTAATAATGATCAATTGAATACTGCTTATCGAAAAAATTAATAATACTGAATATAAAGAAATTATGCTACATATATAAGTGAACATTTATTTTTTTTATATTAAACTTTCAACCCTCTTAAGTCATTTAAAGGTGGGTTAGCCAAAAAAAGGTATGGAACCAAGGCACATGGTAGGATGGTTTTTTGCATGCAAAAATGTGACCCACAAGTGTAGGTAAAAGATCAAAGGAGGAGCTAACATTGTTAATGATGAAAAGGGGTTTGATTGGTAAATTATGGAAGATCATCTTTCATGCAAAATTACATAAAAGTGCAATAGAGATAACTAGGAAAGCCTTAAATCAAACACATATATAATATATATTTCGGGCAATCTATATTCAGATTAAAATTTGACTATTCTGAATCCGTATTACATAAGGCCTCATTCGGAGAGAAGCGCTCCCTATTAAAAAAAATTCATATCTAAAACTCAAACTCAAAACCTCTAAATTTTAATTAAGGAAAAAACAATCTCGTTCGTAATATCATATCTTTGGTGGTATATTCTTTGCAACTCTCTACAAGCAAAGTCCATTTAAAACATCTTTCCACAACTAATGTATTAAAAGGTGAAAAACCTAACTTTGTTTTATTCTAATATAAAAATAGTTCTTTTCTTCTTCTTCTTCTTCACTTAATTAGTCATATTTTCACACCGAATTTTTCAACGAATTTGGTGAAAGATAAAAGACTAAAGTTGTATTCTTCACAAAATAATATCACAAATTTGTTTTTTTTTTTTAAATGATAAACAACCACTATTACTATCACAAAACACATCAAAAGTAATAAATGAAACGAATCCCACATTGATGAAAAACAAAAAACCTGAACTCGTTATAATGCTTGGACAATCCTCACCTGATTCAATTTGACAAATAGAAAAAGAACCCCGAAGCCTAAATTGCGGAGTTTGATCACCTGCTACAAAACAACTATGTCTATGTGCCTATGTGTGTTTGCTTATAGAGATAAATCTAAAATTTAAAGCGAAAATAAATGTAAAGATTATGATCTTATACTTGCACAAAAAAAATATACATATTTTGAGATGAAAATAATGAATTCAATTGAATAGAATAGAACTATATATCTTAGATCCGCACTTTACCTGTGAGAGAGGACAATGGGGATCATCAACTTCAAACTATAGGCAAACTAGCTGCATAATATGTAGATTGAAACAAAAACTTGAGTTGGGGGGAATGAAGCCTGGTCCGAAATCATTCAATTCATCGAGATGGACTTTAATTTGTTGAATGATTTCGAACCAAACAACATTCCCCTCAACAAATGTTTTCTTTCTTTCGAAGAAGAATGACGGGGGTACTATATATATATAATAAATAGTTATGAAGTATATAGAGTAGAGGGACAGATAGAAGAAAAATAGAGCTTCTTTATTTTGGTTACTTAACGGACACATGCATTCATTAGTTTTAGTTTCACATATATATAGCTAGCTTTTTATATTGTTTTTTCATCATCGAGTATTTACATTAAAACTCGATTAAATATGAATTTATATATTATAGGGTTTATTTTAAATACAACACTCATAATATAATTTTTTTTTCCTAAATATTTAAACTCAAAATCTCTAATTAAGAACCGAAGAATCGTAACGTTTCTACCATAATTCATATTGGTTGGCTTTTTGTATAACGTGACGTGAGCAACGGACTTTGTCTTTTTTTGCGACTCAGATGATTTGCAGTTTCCTCTTTACTTTTATTATGCCAAATATTCCATGATTATGATTTTGACACACAAAATTAAAGGTGTGTTTGTATTTCAAAATATCAAATTGGGAAAAAGCATAAAAAGCGTTTACAAAATCATTTTAATGTTTTACTTCTACCTTCGTTTCATTTTGTGGCTATATTGACAAGTTTTTCAATATGAAAGTTTTACTATCCTAATAATCGACACAACTAATGTATTATAATCTATCCATAATATCTAGTTACTCGATAAAGAAACTATTTATTAGGGGTTTATTGAAATATAAGTTTGACTATTACTTACTTATATATATAGTTAATAATAAAAGTAACAATAATATACTAGTAATTAACTGCTTTATAGTATTGTTAAACATTAATGTGACATTCCTTTTCCATTTTAAATTCATAACAATCTCCCCTTATGTTTTCAATTAAGAATATTTTTGCTTATCCCATAAGTGACATAAGAAATGAAAAGTTGATATTCCATGAAGAGGGGTATATTAATAAGTAAAGTTAATTGTGCTAAAAGGTATTCACTGTTTTCAATTAACTTTTGAATCTTTTTACACAAGTGTAGTCAACTTCAACAATAATTTAATTTGAATATGAGGTTGTATTTAGTGTAAATAGTCTGATTAATATTAGAACATTTCTTTTTTGGCCTCCACCATATATAAGGTTAAAGAAAAAGAAATGTAAATATAGTCGAGAAGAATGACATATCTTCTATAGGCACTAATCTGATTTGACTAGTTTCTCTTTCCTTGCAAGAAGGTTATTGAGCTACGAAATCTTGTGTACGCCACTGTATCCTTAGTTCGGGAATTACAGTTAGAAGGAGAAACAAGATTCAGATACTAGTAATTTTTTTATAGGCCACAGTCAACTCTTAAGAAATCCAATACTATAAAACTGAAATTGTAAATATAAATACTACAATATATACCAAGTTTAAAAGTCACACTAACTTCAAGATTTGAAAAGCATACACAAATTTTAAGATTTGGACCTTTTTGACTGTGATTTTGGTTCCACATATGTAAGTCACTTTCTAACTAAAAAGTCACATTTTGCAGAATATCTACACGAACACTTGAGCATAACTTGCTTTACGCTCCATTTACATCTTCCCCTTTTGCTTTCCAAACTTTACATCATTACTCCTACCCAAATTGAGGAAAACAAAAGTTTACTGCACCACTAAAGCACATCTTCATGGCCCCTGTGCCTCTCATTTTGTTTTCCCTCACTAAGTACAATCACTCACCTTGTGTGATATGGAAAAAATCATCAAACTTCCTTCACAACCTTCCTTTTGGAGTCTCATTGCCAGACATGCTATGAGGCTGGACTGCAAATGACTTCTAAGATTAGACGAAAACAAGTAACTGTGAATCACTATTATGTCGAGACAGAAGCAAGAATATGCAAATGCTACTTGTCAAATTACAATACAAAATATGGATATTCTAAATAAGTAACAAGTGCACCTTAGCCAATATACTAAAAATCATATAAAATTTTATAAAAGATGAGTCTCTTTACACAGTAATGGGATAACTTACAGAAATTTACACTTATAAATTAATGTTACAGACTACTGCAAAAAAAAGGTTTTGCAGTTTAAATAAGAAGTCAATGGACAACCCTTAGAGCTGTCACAAGAGGCAAAATACAAGAAAACAATGGCTCTCACTTTATTAAAGTATGACTCACCAAAGGCTCAAGAATGAACGCTAATATCCATATTCATGTCGTCTTGCTTCTCAGTCATTTATGACTCATTTGTCCCCCCTGCGTGATTGGACTCATTGTTAAAGTTGTAAGTAGCAGAACCCCGTCGGTTATTGAGACTGTCTTTACTATTTCTAGAAGCAAAGGTGGTATTTGCATCGTAACCAAGAATATGCTGACTTCCTCTATCATAAGCTCCTACATCTTTATCCAAGCCACCTGTGTCACCACAGCTCTTCCTTCTGCAAAATTTTGGTGATTTTGCACGGGTTGGTGGTGGCTGCAGGACAAAGAAAAGGAACTTAAAACAATAAGGTGGTTAAGTTGATAAATAGCAGGGGATGTCAAAAGATCAGTAACCTAATGTGAACTTTCATTAACATGCTCAAAGGTTACAAAAGCGGTAAAAAACGTCACAATAATACAACAGATTAAATTTATGGTAAACCTCAACTAGAAGTTGATGTTACTGTAAGTTACTGCTGATGAAAATGCAGTACCTTTTTCAGTTCAGCCTTAGGTGGAGGTCCTTCATGGTAGAAACTCGGCATTGGGTTTGCCTTAAACAACAAATTCCTTCTCATTTGCTTCATAGCTGCTTCTCTTTCCTCCTAAGTTCAGAAGGTAGAACGAAATCAAAAAATATATCGATTGATAACACATTCATTAATTCAGTTTCTGTAGGATAACTTTGATTGATCTGTATTCTACTATTACATCCAGGATCAGGTGACAGTAACATAAGGCAGCCCGTACCTTTGTCCTTTCCTCGCATTGAATTTTCTCAGCCTCCAAAGCTTGATGTTTCTCCTCCAACTTTGAGTAAAACTGCAAGAAGGGGAAAAACAGAAAGCAAGACAGAATTGGTCAAGCTTTAGATTTTTCATTTCAAGGAGAACTTGAAGTTCCTTTTCTATTGTTAAGTTGTTTTTTGTTTTGATCATTTAGAGGGGACAAGTAGGGGTAAACAATGAGGTGAAGAATTAGAACTAGCAGTTTCAATAGTCCTAAGGAGAAGTGCAAATCGACAGCTACCTCCTTCCTTCTTGCTGCACGTTCAGAGGACAGAAATACTGGGGCTGCCGCTACAGTGACCCTGGATTTTCTTGCTGAGATCACATCACTTCTCATTGTTGAGGAAATCATCAAATGGCAAAGCAGAATTCAATAAGGGCACACATCAGAGAAAGTGAAGACTTTGTAAAGTTAGATCAAAGGAGAAAGATCATACCAAGAGGCAATTGACGAGTCTTCCTCATCAGAATATTTCTTATTATCAGATTGCAGTGGCTTCTTAAGTGCAACTGATGAAGAAACCTGAAAGAGAATATCATAGCCACAGATGAACATGCTGTATGATCTATAGACCCTAACTCCAATATTATGCATTGACTTCTCAGTGAAAAGTGAGTTTTCTCATTCACCAAAAGTGGAAGTAAAATAAAACACGAGGACTTTGTCATTTTTGCAAGATCAAGTGCTTCGGATTCATCCTCTTCCTTTAATGACATAACCCAGTAGACAGTGGTCAAAACGCACATAAAGCATAGGGGAATAACCTGGTTTTGTACAGATCTCGGGGCTTGCAAATTATTTGTTTCAGATGGCTTCTGTGCAGCACTCACGTCACCTGCATCATTCCTAACAGGACGTGTTCCATGAGAAGAGCGCCTCTCAGTTGCCAGAGCAAATGGCTGGGGAACAGTGCACTTTGTTTTACAGCTTCCAGCAACAGATTTGGTTATTGATTTCACGGAAGATCTTGATCTCCCGTTATCATCTTTTACCTTTGTGCCTGGTCGATCTTGTTCCTGTCTGCTATCAACTGACATTTCAGCTGTGCAGTCCTTCGCTTCATGCTCCTCTGTTTCAACATTGTCATTCAGCATATCAGTTCTCTGCTCCCCAATGGCATGCTCAGATGACTGCAACACATCTTGATTACCATCTCTCATGTAACTTGAATCCGGAGAAACACCTTGCTCCTTTTCCATACAGGTATCTGTAACTTCTAACCCCATCAACCTCTGAAAAAACATCAATAAAATAAGAAAGCATTATTTACAACTAAGGGTTTAATCATGCTAAAATATCTTTTGAGTCCATCATCCGAATTGGTAAAGTAAATTGATTTATTTGTTTTCCTAGAAAAATTGCCAGTCCGTTGTGTTAATGACTCTGCACAAAAACTACATAAATTTCTTTATCAAAACAGGTTTGAATGGTCCCATTGGAGTTGGTGAAGCAAGAAATATTTGAAGTTCTAGTACCAAAAGGACTCCTGCTTTAGAAATAGGACCTCTCAATACTAATCAAATACTCCCTCCGTCCCTTTTTAGTTGTCCACTTTAGAAATGACACACAGATTAAGGCAACAATGATTAGCATAGTGAAGTTACAATTTTACCCTTATGACAACTTTTCACTTTAAAATTACAACCACTTCTTTGAATTCAAGTGAAATAAATTGGAGGGAAACAACATACACTTTTACAATTTTCAAGAAGTGTAAATAAGGGTATAATAGGAAAAAATTTGTTGTCCTTTCTTGGTTTGTCAAAATGGACAACTAAATAGGGACAACTAAAAAAGGAAATATGGACAACTAAATAGGGACGGAGGGAGTAGTTATTTATCAAAATAATAATTGAATATTTCCTCTTTTCTGCATACTCAATTATATATTGCTATCAAGGTTTCTATTTATTATTTAAACAACATATGCATACTGAATAAGCAAGTGCATGGAAACTTGGACTTATACTTGTAAAAAAATAATAATTAGGCAAAATCTGGCAACAGTCAACTGTGAATTTTGCAGTTAGAGGAACATTTATCCTCGCTTTGACGAACTAAATTGTGCATAAAATGAACTTAAAGCTACCCATCTCCAGAAGCATGTTACGCTTGTCAGTGAAGTAGCAAAAGGGGCTAAGATTAACTCTTAGGTACAAGGAATCAGCATGCTGACGTGCCAAATGTACATTGCCAAACAAGGTGGAAAAATCATATTGTTCCAAGAAAACAAATGCTCTATATAATTTCTGTGATAATTAGTGATTGAAGCCCTTTCATATCCATTAAAAGGCTTGATTGTTACACCTCATGAAAGTATACCAAATTTCCCTGAGATCCAGGTTTTATCTTATTCCACAGAAACATTTGCTTTCAGTGTAACATGACTCTCGCTCCAGCATAAGTTACTGAGTAGCTTTCTCCAGCATCTGGTAATTGCTACTGTACTTTTTTTTAAAAATTAGATCATTTCAATCACACGTTTCTAACAGAAGTAGCAATGGATAAGCCTCGTAATACTAAAATCAATGCTGGATACTGCAGTTGAAGATCAATGGTTTGGCGTCCTAATACTAAATAAGACGAAGAAAGAGCCAGAAATTTTTGCATCTCAATAATTCATGAAACAAGGAGAACATATATACTATATAGCTTCAGAAGGGAAAGTAGACTCCACAACACCTCCACGCATTGGTGAGTCCAAAACTATAAGCAGAAACTATATTATTTATACATCATATACAGATGCATATAAAAAGGCATCACCCGTTCACACAGGGTCCAGAAAGGGCCAGACCCCAATGGGGTGTCATACAGAAACCTAAATCTACAGGTAAACACATATGAATAAAGATAGTGTAAAGGGGGTCTGTATAAATGACAATCACAGAACAGATATTTTGCAAACTACATGATGCATTACATAGAAAATGATTCAATGAGCACCTAACTGAAAAATGAAAAGGTACAGCAGTGATACAACTATGTCTTACTTTTGAATATCATCACTTCGAAACATAAATTTACAAAAAAATGGATAAATAGTGAAAAGTGAGCAAAAGATCCATGTTACGGAACCAAGACAACCTATATCCTGGAACACAATATAAAGAATCTCCCTCTCCCTGTAGGTCGCGCTGAATGCAAGTTTTTATACAGAAAATCAGAATCAGACATCTTCATATCCTTTTAGAACCCAATTTTAAGAATTTTCAACCCCCCCCCCCCCCCTCCCCCCATTTATTTCATATTTTTACCTCTATCTCAAACTCTCATGTTTACATTCTAATCAACCAAAATATCAACTATCAGCAATCAAACTCAAAAAGCATTTCATAATGCAACATCCATATATTTCAATAGATTATCACACCCACCAAATTACAACTCAAATCCTTAAACATAGTAAAGATTGAAGAAATTAACGAAGAATATGTAAGTAAAGCTGAAAATGTAATAGATTTCTTATATAGATCTGCAGAATGTACATAACATCATAACCAAAATCGAATAATACAAATAGATCATAGTCTCACAAAAATTAAAAAATCTCACAAATAACAATATCAATACAAAGATTTTTGAGAAATCTCACCTTTGAAAAGATCGATTTGTTTGCTGCTTCTTCTTACCCAGAAAATATATGCAGTTTTTTCTATTACAATACAAATAGACAGAAGAAAATATTTATTTATATAGCAGAAAGAAGGAGGTAAAAGAAAGAACAAGAAAAAAAAAAAAGGAGCTTTTTATACTATTTTTATTTATGGATTCAAAAACAAATTTTATTTTTAGAAAAAAAAAATAGCTAAAAAAATGAGTAGGGAAGACCAATTATTGATGATTTGTATCACTTGATTGAAGAAGACAAAAGTAATTTAAAGTATTATTATTATAATAAAACCAATTAAGGAGAGATTAAATTGTCAAATCACCTTTCAATATCCACAGAAAATTTGTGTTTTTAATCACTCAAATATTAAAAAAATTGATTTTCATCATTTTAAATTTTTTATTTAACATATTTAATCTTCTATTAATTACCATAGAGTATAGAGACACCTCTAAACCAATTTGTCGTGAATATTTAATTATTGATGTGTTATGCTAATTTGAATTGTTATTTTATATTTAAGAATGACATAATTTTGAAAATAATCTAAATATAATATGTTTTAATAGAAACCAAAAATACATATTATAATTAAATCAAAGTAAAATATATTTGAATAATACATGTACTTGTAATGCTTTCTTTATTTGTTGAAATATACACATATTTAGCAAGGGATATTGTATCCGCATTGTGGTCAGAGGCAATAATTCACTCCTCTATATTTGAAATATGCCTCTCTAGGAGCATTACGATCTGCAGCTCAAATGGTCCCTTATGAAGTCTGCATTGTGGTCAGAGGCAATATAATTATTATGAAGGTTCGATTAAATTATCTTTAACGAAATATTATATTATTTAAATAAAATAATTGTTCTTTAGATGACTTAGTTAATTTGGAGGTGTTCTTTCATACGGATGATCTGAGATCGATCTCCCTCAATATCTAATATCTTTCGAGTCGAACCTGTTGTATAGAGTTGTCTAGTACGATTTACATTCATGATTTAACTTATTAGATTTTCATTAAGAAACAAATGAATAATATTAGCATAATCTTCCCAAACCCAAGTTAATTACAGCTAAAATTCCTGAAAACTTGACTCTTTAACCATAAATAGTTAGAAGGTCGAAGAAATCATTGCTTTAATTTGTTTCCAATCTTTGATTACTATTTGCTAACCCTTTTGATAAAGTCTCACAACCTCTTGCTAATTTTAATTTTTCAACCCCACTCTTTGCATCTTATTCTAATTACTCTTTTGATTCTTTTTAAAAAATATATTTAAGAGGGAGGTTCCACAAACAATTTATCTCATAAGAAATGTCTGTGGACCATTAATTAACCAAAGTTCTTTAGTCTGGTTAGAACCTTATTATATTAAGTAAACAAAATGTACATAATTTTTAATCTTGGAGTGTTATGAAACTAATAATTGTGAATGCCCACTGTTTAAGAAATAATCATATCTTCGTAATCTTTCTCCTTAATCTTCTTCCCTCGTAAATTCTATGGTTAATGTCATGTTTTTACATTAAACATGTACACTACAAGAGTTCATACAATACACACTTGAGAAATACTTGAAGAATTGAAAAATAAGAAAGATCTCCCCTCTTTGTTTCTCTTTATTATTCTTATTTTCATCTTTTAATATATTATACTAATTTTTACGTTAATTTTACAACACGTTATCTATACGGGTCTCTTACCGTTTTCTATAAATGCGCGAATCCTCGAAAAAAATTGAAGTGTGAATTGCAAGGCAATCTCCTAAAGAGACTGAGAGTGTGTTTGGTATGGAGGAAGATATTTTCTATTTTTTTTTTTTCAATTTCATCATGTTTAGTTGATCAAAAATATTTTGAAAATTATTTCTCTGGAAAGATAAGCTGCTTAAAAATGAAGAAAGTGACTTCTCTAATGAAAGTAGGAAAAACAAATTTCATAAGTGACATTCCAAGTTTATTGTCCTCTCCCATACCCATCCAACATCTCTAGTCCCCACCCCTCGACCATTACATCCCCATCACCCTTGAACCTCCACTTCCTATCTCATCTCCTCACATAGTATTTTGCTAGATTACATATAAATATTTTTCAGAAAGTATATATTTTTCTTACTTATCAAATATTTTAAAATAAGTAAAAAATCAACTTATTTTTTCTAAATCACATAATAACACGTCAATTATGGATTTCATTCTTCCTGGTACGGAGAATAGTAAAATTGAGTGGATCATAGTAGGATAATCAGGTTCATCTATAAGCTAAGAACAAGTATATACAATGAGTTAGTAATATATGGTTACCTGAAATGCTGAATTACCAGGTGTAGCTAATGAAAGAATCCCTTAGCAAAGAAAAAGGATCCTCTAAGCTAAGCGAGCAAAGAAATTTTCTTAATTTTCCGACAAAAGAGTGTCGCTTGACGCACTTAGGCCCTAGGTGGCAGTAGTTCCTTAAGATCACTAGTTGGTACTAATTTTATTTCAAACACAATAATCTAAACGTGCTTTAATCATACTAAATTATAGTAATAGCTTAAAACCTTTTTAAAAATATTTCTACTTTGAAAACAAATCAAGTTATGAAAATATTGTAGACAAAATTTGTCTAACATATTTTCAATCGTAATTATAACAAATCTATAAAAATATTTTCAGTTCTAGTGATCACATATTTCTTATAAATTATCATTTTTACCCATCAATAAATATGAAACTTAAAATATCAATATCTATTTTCACAACATTGTTTCTTCTGAAACAAATATGAACCATGAACGGTTAAGTGAATCAATTAAGTCATACCTCAAATTAATAAACAAAATCTATACACTTGTTAGCAGACAAAAATATCAAGGAATGATTACATTTTTTTCATCATGAAATCATGTTCACTTTAAGTAATTAGCTCTAATATTTTCTCCAACTAAATAAAATAGACATTCACCACTTATCACAAATAATACAAATATATTTATATCATGAATTTTTATTTTTTTTTAAAAGGCTTTCTCGCAACAAAATGTGACTCAAATAATAAGGCGCGGGGAGTTTCAATTTTGTCAAAGCTTCCATAGCACGAAGCCACAGAGTGAGTTGAAGAAGGAGAAGCCATTCATGTTAATGGGGTCAGCAAGTCCGAAACACACATGCCTCAAACTGGTAATTTCTAATAAGGAACAAATATTTGTGAAAGGCACATGGTTCTCTTCTCACTTTGACCTCTTCATTACTGATGGCCTTCAATCTTGGACTTGCCATGGTATTTTTCTATTCCTAATTGTTTTGCTGACCTTAGTTTAGTTAGGATACTTCATTTTTTACTGTGTAATTTTTGGGGTTTTTTTGCAGCGTCGGAGGAAGAGGTTGAAGAGAGAGCATCTCAGTGGGATCAACCCGTTTCGGAGTATATTGATTTGGCTGAAAAGTATTTAGGATTTCAACAACCCGGTTCTGTTTATGGGTTTGATGATGCTGGTACTGGGCATAAAAGGGTCAGCTTTTCTTGATTTTATTTAAACCTAGTTTATTGCACATTTTCAATTATTTGATTATTTCCTCTTTTGAGTAATTTGTTAAAAGAACAGAAGGCACCCTAAAGATGAGATTTTAGCTTAATCATGTGACATTCAGTGGCCTTTGACTTGTTGATGAAACCCCATATTGTATTATTATTGTAAGAGATATTTATCATTTCAATGTTAATTTGAGCATGTAATAGGAACAATTGGTTCACATTTGTTGTTTTTGATTCATGAGTTGCTCGAGTTGATTTGAGATTTTGCATTAGCCTTATTAGATAAGTTGATTCCTAGGGCTGTTCAGTTTGCTCTCATTAAGCACCGATCAGAAGACCTTCATACTACTCGAGCGACAATTAGGATGACAATGGGGTGGGGTGGGGCGGATTTGAACCAACTGAGAGCATGGTGGGGCGGGGAACATGCTAGCAGGATGGTGCAACGAACAGGATTGGGGGGGGGGGTGCGGGTTGAAACAATCATTTTTTAAATTCTTAGCAGGGCAGTTGTGAGGTGCACATTTCATATATCTATTCCAATTGACTCTAAATCTATATAGACGAGTTGAGTTTTCCTATTCTGGAAGATCTAGTCAATCAGAGTTGAAATTCAAACCCAGTACATTTGTGTTCATAACGAAGCTAAAGAGTTGGATGATTTTTTTAACTAAATTGTCAAACTGCCAAACGGCCACACAGCACTGTTGCCATCTCTAAGCGCAATAGCGCAAGAGGGTGTGTGTTATCAGCTTGGAGCCTTGACCAAAAATATGATTTTAGCCATGTGCACTAACTGCTTAGATTGTTATTCTTGCTTTTTAAAGTCTATTGTGGTGCTCTACAGCTTTTTAGTCAACTCTAGCACATCTTTGCTTTTAATTGCTTAACGAATGTCCTAAAGAGCAAAAAATTAGTTAAGGTGGAGTCAATGTAATCAATATATCTTTATGGTATTATTGCAAGTTTGAAAAGCTATGATGTGCTTTCCATGTAGCCCATTATTTTCCTTTGATCTTTGTAGCTCTCATGGACATTTGAGAAAGAAGGCACAAAGCTGGAATGGCGGTGGAAATGCCAACCGTCTTCTAATAGCAAAAAAACTACAGCTGATATCTTGGACTTCCTCATGGATGCAAATATTAGACTGAGTGTAATGATCTTGATTGCTGTGCTGTGTCTTATTTAAAGTTACAATTTACTCCATGCACATTTTCAGTTTACTTGAATTTTATCAATCTGCCGTCTTAAAATCTACTCTCTGATAATCAGATGAACTTAAGTGATCAGGAGCTTTTATGCATAATATGCATTACAGCCAGTATTAATGTTTTTGCCATGAATTTTAGGATATCTGTTCTTAGAAATGTTGGTGGAGGATGTAGTAGTTCAGTATCCGTGCCTACAGTTCCCTTTCATACCCTCTATGGATTTAGGTGGTCTGGCAATAGTTGGTTGCACTGTTGCTGGCTTGCTGCAGTGA